CCCGATTAAAGTGGTCAACAAGCAGAGGCCGTTATCTACCCCGTGATAAATTAAAAAATATTGACTGCTCCTAAACCTGACACAGGGAAAATATTTGCACTTGTGTAAGAAGCAAACAAAATACTTATTTGGAGGCACTGGGGAATTTTGATAAGGGAGGAAAACAGGTCAGTGCTGATAGGCAGGGTGGTTGCCATGCAAGAGGGGAGAAAAGGCTCATTGGGTAGCTGCACAACCCGCTGGTGGCGCACTTGTTTAGTCAAGAGGCCCTCCTTTCATACCATCCAAAAATCCCCCTGATTTCCGGGTCGAACCCTGATATTTCAGGAACCCCTTTCACACTAGCAAGGATCCAACACATCTTCTACATGGGTCTGGCACTCGACACAGGTAAAATTCAACCCTGGTTCAGACCAGTGTTGAGAGGCTCTGCCCAGGTAGAAAATCCAATATCTATGGTCAAGCCGTGTTTGTTTTTTTAAATAAAAACTGTTGTTAGTGTGAACTCCGTGGGCTCGTGTTTGATTGGGAACAGGTTCCACTAAAAGTGGATCTGTTTTTGGCTTTACTGACGTTGGCTTGAGGAGATTTTAGACTTCTAACTTGGGGGACTGTAGCTTTTTATAGGACTGTCCATTTTTGAATGGTTTATTATTTGATTATTTGGAACTGCGTTTTGCCGAATATTCGATTGTTCAAAACTCTCCGATCAAGTTTTACACACGCCAGCTGCAACTGCATGCCGTGCCGGTCAAAAGTTGCACGCAAAGTGCGCTGGTTAAACTTTGCGTGCGGCGAGCTATATTATGGACAGCTGGAGTGTTTTACTGTAAGTATTTTATAAGAGTCAAGGGTTTTAACCTGCTAAAAGGAGGGGAACAACGAAACACTGTCGACCAAAAAAAGTGGAATTTGACAATAAAGCGCTGCAACTTTACGATTAAAAGAACATCACATGTGTGTGTGCACGTGTGTTCTTTTTTTTCTTTTTTTTAATATTCAAACCAGCAAAAAGCTTGTCAAATATTCTGTTGATGATAGAATATTCAAATAGTCAGTATATTCGGGATAGCCCTAGGGAACTATGGCTTCAACAACATTGAATTTTTTCAAAACTTGGAAACAAAAGTTTGGAGCATTTCCAATTGGTGTACACATTAAAGACGTGTCCTATTTTTGGGGACTTATTTTGTGTCCTGACTGGGCCCATCCAATCACGGGCAATGAATGGGTATTTCGAAAGAAAAGAAAGCATCACAATTTACAACATATTGAAAATATTGCGAAATGATGACTGGTATAAAAATAAAAATAAAGATGCTGACCTCAACTTCCGTTCAATCAATCACACAGATAACAAGCGGGTAAATTCAACCACGGGAGTTTGTGACTAGACTAGTCAGTGTTTGGAACCAAGACGTTCACATTAAAAAGTGAACATTGACTGTCGAGACTTACACGCTCTACTGGCAACTTTTGGTGTGGAACAGGCTTGTTTAATGTAATTTATGTGCAACTTCCTTAGAAGTGTCTGTGCTTTGTTGCTTAGGCCTAAGGGAGTCTGTGGCCTAATAGTAATCAGTCGTCAAATCTTGTTATGCACACACACACAGTCTGAATAGTACGATTTGGCTTATTCTTTTTGCAGAGTCTTACACCGCGTTCCCACTTGAATTGGGAAAAGGTGGATCAAGATCCAGCATTTTGGTGTGATCGTTATCTTACCGCAACGAAACCGCAAGTCGCGTTTCCACTTATGCTTGATCCACCTTTTCGTACGGAAATGTTGGGTCCGAAAGGTCACTGAGTTCGGAATTACGCGCGCTCTGTGGGAGTGCCATTGTAGCATGGTTGCATGCTAGGCCAGGATGGGTCAGTTTTCAAATAGCACTATCAGAATTCACCGACAAAAATTACGCGAATTCACCAACATAAATCACGGATCCGTAGAGGATCCGTGCGTGCATAAATTAACAGGTGAAATCCAACAGAGCCGCTCATTGTGTGACATCACGGCAGAAACCAATGCATCGATAAGGGATTCCCTGGTTCTGAAGCTTCTCATTGGTTAGAAACGGTCACAAGATGTACTACGACATCAATTTCCAATTTTCTATAATCAATACTTCAGATTTGTCACCTCCGTACGTACCGCGTTATCGGCACTATTCTCATCGCATACTCGTAAGCTTTTCCATGATTCTGTGCCAAAGTGAAGTCTTTTGGTGAGTGCGGACTCGGAGTCATTTATGGATGGAAAAATAAGTAAAATTTCAGGAATGAAAAAGGTTTAGTAATGGACGAACACGCAACAAAAATAAGGCCTATATAGTGCAGTTTAGGATACCACGTGCGCTTTTGCATGCGCGGTGCTAGCCCGTAGTTCAGCGGTTGTTTATTGTGCATGTTGTATACGCTGGAAATGTTCACATGAGCTACACGCCTGAAAACGTGTTTCTTCGTTCATGAGACCGCAACATTTTCGCGCCACTCGTGCACCGGGCGGATGTTAACAGGTCAAATTGCCGGATCAGATCCACCTTTTGCGTTCCCATCTGATCGTGATCCGGCAATTGCCGGATCTGATCCACCAATTGGGGGATCTGTATCCTGGTCCAGAGGTGGATCAGAAAAGGTGGATCTGATCCTGATCCACCTTATAACGGTTAGCGTTCCCACTACACACAATTGCCGGATCTGATCCACCAATTGGGGGATCTGATCCGGCAATTTGGCAAAAGGTGGATCAGATCCCCCAATTGGTGGATCAAGTGGGAACGGGGTCATACAGCGCAAGTGGGTCAGATACCACCATTTGATGATGCTGTGTCCCTTGGCAAGGCACTTTATCTTGTTCTATCCATCCTGGAGCACCATAGGTATTTGTAAATACAGTGAGTGCTATGGTCCATGAGGTCCTATCCTTAATCAAAAGACTGGACAAACATTCTGATTCCTGACGTTAAACATTCACACAGAAAAAAAAATTGCGATTTAAATGTGTTTACCACATTTTGCACCCTTGGACAAAAACAAAACAACATCAGATCTTCACCAACTTTTGCAAACTTTGCTGCATGAGTCCAGATAAGGGACAGTTCTAATCATCTTAGGAGAATAGGATTTCCATCAAAACAACACTTTATCCCCAGTAATCATAAACAAATGTTTACTTCACCAACTCATCCGCCAGTTCAACATCTCATTAACTCCAATCAAAGTTCACAGTCAAGATCAAGGGGGGAGATTACACACACACATACAAAGAAAGAAAAAAACAAGCCAAGAAAAAATTACAACTAGCTCAGCTCTCAAGATATGTATGTTTGTTTACCAGCATTGTGTGGTTGGGAAAAAAAACTTGCATTATGACCTCTTTCAAAATCAGTTTAACCATTAACAAATAGGCCTCCTCAGACAAACACACACCTGGGGAGTGTACACCACTTGGGCCTATTTGTCTTGGGTTTTTATCAGTGCGCCTACTTGGCACTTTGCTAGTATCATTGTGTTAATATTGACAGTTTGCTAGCGCAAGCCACTCCTCTCCTTCTCCAACCACAAACACACTCCATAATCTATATTCCTACTACTTCTTTACACACAAAGTTTAGCTATTACTTAGTCATGATAAGATAAATGGCCCAGATAGCTGTGTTTGAGTCAATGTAACTGTTCACCTTTTGTGTGTGTGTAGTTGAGGGACCAGTTGGTATTGGGGCTGTTTGTGTGTATTCGGAGAGACTGAAGTGCATGTTTGTTTTTTTCTGGGTTTATTTTTAAGAAGGAATGACTAATGTGTGATGTTTGGCAAATAATAAGTTCTATAGCAGGACACTTCAGAAATACCAGCAAAAAATCCAAAACAGACACCGTTACCTCGGAAAACAATGTCTGATTGGATAATAATAAGTTGGCACTGTGGTTTCTTTTCTTTCTACTTCTTTTGGAAGTACAAATGATGTGCAACTGGGTTCCTGTTTGGTGAAGAATTTCTGAAAATACAGGGAATGTTCTTTGCAAAATATGCCCAGGTGAATGAACCAAAGAAACACTAAAGGCCTTTTCACACTAGAAAAATCTCAAGGTTGACACAGCGTTGACGTGGGGTTGAAAACATGTCGCATTTCGCATTTGAAAATAAAAAACACACACACACACACTTGAAGTTCATGAATGTTTAAAGGGAATATACAACATTTGCAAACATCAGAAAACAAAACTACCAAATTTTTACGAAATACCTTACTAGGATGTTGGTAAATGAAAGTCTAAAGCATCCTGTAAAATTATGGCACCTGGTGTGAAGTCATTTTCAAGAAAAGTGGTATTTTGTATAAATTTCCAATGATGGTCGGCCAACCACCGTTGGAAAAACCTAACTATTTTTCAACTACTGCCCCACATTTACCATTTTTTTTTCAGTCCAAATTTTGTTTGCTAGTGGTTACATGTTCATGAACGGGTGCAGGCCAGCTAGATTGGTTTCCTTACCTTACAATTTTCTGGCACCTATAAATTGATTCATTTAATTTTAGTGGAGTCAGGGAACCAGACTACTAGAACATTTTTTGTTTTCTTGTTTTTTTCCCAGCATTTTCGAACACAAACCTTTAATCTTGTCAGTGTAACAATATTTGATCTGTTACACTATTTCCTCAAATAGTTCATTTCTGAAATTTACAGCAAAAGTCAATGATGTAAATTCCCTTTAAGGGCAAAAACACTATATTAAAAGTTACATCTCTCATGAAATCCATGCACAAGTAGTGACAGTACCGTCTCAACAGTTACAAAGGAAGAGTTGGGGGAGACCACTGGGAGGGGCATCTGAACACATTGCTGACGGTCCCTGAAGCTCATGCAAAGATGAAACGGGTTTGTGCAGATTCCGAGAAAAATGACTCGTGCTTACTTCGCCCTATGGCATGCAAACGCAGTGTTTCCCTCAAAAAGGGCTCTATCAGGCAACATTTCATCATGATAAGATCATAACTTACTGGCTTTGCCTCCGCTTCGTCAGACTCGGTGCTCGCGTCTGGCAAGTCGACAGTGCCCTCGCTTGAGTGCGCAATGAAAATGCTGCTCTTGTCATCATACACAAAGCTCAGGTCTTTCACAGTGGTGAGGAAATGTCCAAACTGGCGTAGGCAGACAACACGAAGCAGTGTCTGCAAGAAAATATAGTTAATAACCCATGAATAAATTGTTTTTAAAAGGTCAAAATTCAAATGCTCCAAACAAAAATTGTCCACAAATCGTAATAGAAAAAACATGTATTTGTGAAACATTCTGTCAAAAAACGCGCATACTACGCACAAATTGAACAAATCGGGACCCATCCGGGCCACGTTTTTTTTCTCACCAGTGCATCGCTTTTCTTGGCAGGTGCACAAGTTGTCAAGGTCAGGCGGAATATGACGCAACCGCAAACAACTCTATTTTGGTACGGTTAAGATGTCCAGACAGATTTTGCTGGCAACTTTTCTCTCTCAATCGAGAAATCGTTCAGTCACGATATATTTTTTTTGCTCTGCTCAAGCGTCATTCGTACACAAGGTCAAGGTTGGGAGATGCGTGTCTCCATTAAAACGACCAGGTGTCTGCGGCACTTCGATAACACGATTTGATTCGACTATTTAACACATGGTGTTTGAGGAGGCGGGAGCCCACCCAAAATAGATGCAAAACCGTTATCCGTCATCTGCGGCAGGGAATAAACAGGAAATATACATCCAACTGTGATTGCTGTTGATAGAGAATCAAAAAGCCTTGAATTCAGATCATTTTTTTAACTGCTGATTGGATATTAAAATGTCAAGTGCAATTACGGGAAGTATTGGGAACACAACCAATGATCAGTTATGCAAAGGTCTCGATTCATTCAGTATGTCAGCTGGAGTTCACCTTGGGAGTTCAATGCACTATAAAGCAAGGAGATCACAACCATTTTCAAACCAATTATCATCTGCCAATGACCGCCTCCATAAACAATATACAGGAAGACACTCCCATTCAATTAGTGAGGGTGGGGTTGGGGGAGGCGGGACATCATCTGAAACATGGAGGTGATGTTTAAAGTGCATATGGACTTGACACCAGACACCATACGATGCTAAGTAACTCAATGCATGGTACCAACAGTGACATGATTTGCTGACAAAAACATGAATTTTGCGCCCCCCCCCTAAAAAACAAAGAACAAATGGGTCATACTCCCAATACCCCTTGTTCAGCAATTGTTGGGTTCAAGGGTTAAACCAACCTCACACGTATATCAGCTGCAGTCATACATATAACGGGCAAGTAACATTTTCTTCTGGGTGGTTCTGGTTCTAGTTATTGGTTCTGGTGGAATACTGCCGAAGGCGTCCAATACTTTCTGTACTTGGCAAGTTTTTGTGCCTGGCATATCAAGATTTTTTTTTTTTGGATTCAAGCTTTAAACAAAAGTATTAGTCACTTGCAATAATATTTACCAGGCTATGATTTAGATTATTCATGACATCGATCGGTCTCGCTTCGTGGACCTTAAATGACATTGACTGCAACACAATAATCAATCCATTACGGCCACAAATCATTTGGATGTTCCAATTTTTTTCTGAGCTTAACACATGTGGACATTTCTCAGGAAAAAAACTTCCAAGTCTCTGGTTGCATGTCACTACATGTCAAACGGAAAATTATCCCAAGTTTTGACTCCAAACTGAAAACATGTGCGAAGGGTTGTGACTCGGCCCTATACTGTCCCCTACTAAAGTCGACTGGATCCATCAGTGTCATGAACGATTCCGTCGTCAAAGAAGACTTTTTGACGGGATTGAGTCAAGCGCTGACACACGCACAATGTCGCCTTCAATTTAGCGCTGGTGTGACATGTCTCCATCTGGTGGTGTGTGATGCCAAGTTGGTTTGGGAGTGTCAAGTGGCCAGTAGATGTGTCACCGCAGATGAAAAACTATACTTGGTTAAAGGTATAGTCCATCATTTGTAATTTGTGCATTTTGTTCGTTTGAAGCAACAAAAGTGTTCAAAATCTAATGAAGGATACTGAACAACTAACCTCATGAAGTTTCAGCTCAGCTTCAGCTGTACATGTATATTCCGAGAAAAACAGCATTCTAGGATCTCAATTTCAAATCAAAAGTTGCTGAATCATGTTTTGAATTGTTTTGAATTGCAGCTATACGCGATGTCGCGCACTGATCCGACGAATTATAGCAACCGCGCGCGCCTGTGCGTCGTGCCAATGCTTGCGCGCGCTGCGCCGGATAACAAAACACTAATAACTACTAATTTAAATTTTCCTACGGTTAAGACGCACCGTTGGAAAGGCCTTCTTTTGTTGATTACTTCAAAATGATAGCTTGCCAGAAAGATTAATTTCACAGGGAGTTTAGTCCACTTACTATCTTTCAACCAAGTATGTTTTTCAACAATAATACACCAGTTACTTTTTCGGATGGCTGCAAATGATGGACTATAGCTTTTAAACAAGCCGAGTACGGCTGATCCTGGTGCACACCAGAATATATGGGTAATCGTGTAGTTTAGGACCCTGTTCCTTATAAGAGAACAAAAAGACACTTTTACCACCTTTATGTGTAGGGACTTTTCTAAACATTTGGCGATGATACTAGGAAGTCACTTTATGTGTATGTAATCATAGTTCGCAAAGATACCATGTTGAATATCAGCAAGCTTTATTTTGTGGAAAGAGGGCAGTTTTTGATTTATGAGATAAATTATGAGGTAAAACATCAGCCTGCTACCTGTCTCGCATATTAATGGTGAGACCTTCTCTAACACGCATGTCTCAGAGTGCAAAAAAGTCACATTTTCTTCAGATGTACTTAGCAAAATTAACTCCCCAAAAAACATGAGTTAATGTGAAGAAAAAAATACTACTTGTGAAAGTCACATTGGAATTGACAGTCATTTGCAAAAATTGTAAAAACTGGAGGTGTCCTAAACTACATGATTACCAATATATTCAATTGAGTCAGACTGGCTAATCATTGGAAGTCTTTTCATGCACACAAAATGGACAGGACTAACTTTGTATTTTTCTCTTGGTCACTCTCACAACAGCACTTCGGGATGTCTGTCATTTTTTCCTAGAAAGACCTTTTTTTTTTGATGGGAAGGTCGCAACCTTTGTTTTGTTATTTCATGAACAAATATGTGTCCAAAATACAACACAGTTTGCAGATGAAGTCACTGGGTCATATACTCTGTTTACAAATAACCCTGTTGAGAAAGAGAAAGGAATTGAGAAATCAAAGAAAACTTTGGCCATTGCCGCCATTCAATCAGCCTTGATTTCGAGTACACAATAGTGCGCACATTTACGTGTGTTCTGCTGCGATCATGATATGGGTTTAAACATATGAAACTGGTTGTGTGTATAACTTGCAATACGCACACAAACCTTTCAAAAATTCATTCACAAATGGACCATTCTGAATTTGGTAATAATTAGCCCCGCCCACCTTTGGTTTGTGTGCATTTCTCACTATGCTTGTGACTGAGTTCGAGAGAGCTACCATGGTCACCTGACCAGAATTTGTGATCTCATTGGTCAAGTGCACTGTTTGTTTGAAAGGCACAAAGGGTCCATTACACTATCCTGCATTTTATATGGCCTGGAATTTTAGACAGTGCCTATTGTGTACATTTGTTGATCTTTAAATTACTTGACCTAGTTTCAGAGGCCGTGAGAACAATAACGTACTTGTTGTTTTCTGACTACACGTCCCAGTGAAATATTAAAACTTTTGTTTAGTTACAGACTAAGGAACAATGACTACAGTTCTACAAACTTTGATTCGTAAACAAATCTGATCTGGTCTGGTAACCCGCCCACTCCCAAGAGCCCTTTTTTTCATGAAGACATCATCTAACCAGCTGTTATAAAATCCCTATCTACATAACAGTATGTTTTTCTCTTTGCTGGTGGTTCAGCCCAGGTCAGCAGGTTAAGTTACTCACTTCCACTCTGCAACCAGCCTGTGTAATTGTACGGAAATTACAGTTGACTCCTCTGGCCCCCCCAATAACTGGCTGAGTGAAATCACCGGGGCGTGTAGTTATGGGTGTTACAGCCAGGAAGTTCACTCCGTAACCTTTCTCTCTCTCTCTCTGGCTCAACCCCCACCCCCCCCCCCCCACCCCACTTCATCCTGTGTGTGCGTGCCTCAATGACTGATGACTGATGCTTGTCGTTCACCTGATCAGCATACAAGCTCCACATTTTTCTCCAAGCCTCTATAATGTGTCTCTAAAAACAGTTGAATATTGACACTTTCAGCATGCTTTCAGCTACTTTTTTTGTGTGTGGTCCTGCTTGGTTAGGGTAGCGGGGATTTAATGAAGCCGAAAATTGACTCTGACAGCGCATCAGGATGTCAGAGCCCCTTGTGCTAACCTCTGTTTCATCCTGTGAGTGAATCAACAAGCACTTGGATACTATTCCCCTCCTGGAAGGCATTTGCTAGTTTCCTCTCCGCAGAGCGTGTCCCTAGGGAAAGGGGGGAGGGGAGGGGAGATAGCTTGTCAGTGGCTTGCTGAAGCTGATTTTCTTTTGCCCCGAGGGGTACCACTAGTTTATCACTCTGCTAATTTCCCGGGCAAGCAAAGAAGGGGGGGGGGAGGGGTGTTCCTTGTTCTTTGAGGGCACATAGCCATATGGATAGCCCAGATCTGAAGACTGGATGCCCTGAAGGAGGAGAACCTAGCTGATTAACCTGGACAATGGTACACCTGTGGGAGGGAAAAGGGGAGGGGGGGGGGTGGCAGTGACGTGATGCATGGCTCAGTGTCCTTTTACATTGGCCTAAACACGGTTTCAATCTCTAGGAGTAGGATTTGGAAGCTAACCATGACCTTTACTACTTCAGGACATGAGCTCCATCTAATCTTTAGCCTCTAAACTTAATGCCGAAATAACAATCTTGAGAGAACCTTTAACCAGTGCCTGTTTCTCCATTATCTTGAACCCTGTTGTTTTCTTATTCAAGGCACAACCATAACTACGCGAATGAACCACAGCTTACATGCTTATGGGGAGTCAGGTTGGCGCAGTGGTTCTTTACTCCCCTTCCGCCTCTATGGCCCGGGTTCGATTCCTGCCCTGGTCCACTTGTGGATTAGGTTCACAGTCCCTACC